CAAATTTCAGGTATGAATTTGAATATTAATTTTAATTTTTCTCTTCTGCTCATTCTGTTTATCAGTCAGTTCCCTGGCAGTTGGGTATGACCTAGTTGGCAGCCTGATCCAGTGAAATGAAGATGTGAAACAAGGTGGAATTATTTCAGGGCATTAACAGTTTTCCTTAGTCTTGTTACTCATTTGAAGTATGCCTTTATCAAAACCTGAAACCATTTGGAATATACATATTGAGAGAACTTTCTTCATGCATGGTGAAATTCTTGAGAATTTTTCTGTGAGTGAACTGGTGACCTACACTTGGAACAAAACAAGATGCTATTTTACTGAAACTGTGGACAGTGAACCACGAAGGGGCCAGAGTCAAACTCTATGGTACCCTGGCTAGTGACTCGGTTGGTTGGAGTGTCATCCTGTACACCAAAAGGTTGTGGGTTCAGTTTCCAGTCAGGGCACATACCTAGGTTGAAGGTTCGACCCCCAGTTGCGACATATACAGGAGGCAGCTGATTGATGTTTCCCCCTCTCTCTCTCTCTCTCTCAAATCAATAAACATATCCTTGGGTGAGGATGAAAAACAAAGCTTTATGGCAAGTTGAGGGAGGCTCAGGACAAGGTCCGGGAGAGTCAGGGCTATTAGATGCTTTCTTTATTTTCCACAGCCCAGCATTGCCATGTGATATGAGAGTGAGAAAGAAAAGGAAACTGGGCCAGAGGATTAGAGCACAGGGAGGACTTAGGTTTAATAGGATTTTATTAGGCTTTAAGTTGAGGTTGTCTGAGATAGTTTGACCCAAAATGAATTCCCTTCACTGCTCTCAGTTGTAAGAGAGGGCACAAGGTTCCCCTCTTTCAGATGTTCCCAATATTTGAAGATTCTTCACCCTTAGATGTAATTTTGCATGCTAAGCACTTTACAGTAGTAGACTTTTTGTGTGTTTAGTAGCAGCCAATTCAGGGCATTCCAAAGTGCATTCTAAAACAATGAGATTTTTATACTGGCGATTGCTCAAGAAACCAACCAACCACAGATTCGGTTTGTTTGTATATTTAAGATGATTGATTCCTGTGCTTTGGGTTCCGTAAATGAAATATGCTTCAATAGAAAAAAAGTGTACACGTAGAATCCCATTTACAGCTAGAATTCTTGGGAAGGTTTTTGTACAATGGCCATTTAAGGTGACCTCTTCCCAGTTAGTATCACAGTTGCAATAAAGAACGTAAAATAATGACTTTTGAGCTAGAAGAGACCTAAGAAATAATCATTTAATCCTAACTACTCACCTAAGTGAGGTTCCAAACCAAGAGCCCCATTTTTTACTGAAGGTGTCACAGCTGATTAGAGCTGGAACCAGAGTCTTGGGGCCTTTTCTCCCAGTTCAAAGCTCAAGTCTCCAAGTGGGGACTTTAAGTTTTCTGACTTCCACACTTGGAAAACCAAGTTAAAAACTCTTAGCCATCACCCTTTGTCCCCCACTTTAAATCCACCTAAACTCTCCAACCATTTCCACAAACCAACCAGAGAAATATCAGGTGGGAAGAAGGAAAGGTGGGAAGGGAGCCTGCCATGTCTTTCCATCGAGGTCAAGACATTACCTCTGATTCGGTAGCTCACTATGAAAAGACTCGGCTTTGCTTCTCTTTTTTCTTGAGGCCTCACCTGACCTGTGTTCTTCACCTTTCTTCTCCTCTTGCTCCATCAGATCCTTTTTTTTAAAAAAATCTTCAAATTCTCCATGTTCATTGGTTCCTTCCCATTAGGCCTGCAAATGTGATCACTTTTTCCTCAATAAAAGTGTTCTCTTAGTTCTGTCTCCCTTTAAGGTGGTCATCCATTTCTTTCCCTTAAGGAATTTTTAATAATTTGTTTTTAAAGGATATTGTATTGAAACATAAAATAATTGAAGGATGGTATGAGATAATGTAGAATTAAATGCCAAAATGTTTACATTATAAGTTCAATCTGTAGTGAAAGAGATCTGTTAACATATAGCCATTCAGGGACTCTTTCAGGAAAAAAAATGTAATTTTGACACATTTATAGCTCTCCTAAGAATTGTAGATTTTGAAAGAGTCTGAAATTAGATATCTGTTTATTTGGGAATGAGGTTGAAGGAAGTTTTACATTGGAAGGGGGTGTGATCTAGATAACTAGAATCTAAGCTTTTATGACCATATGGTGTCTTATAATTCTGTGATGTGGAAGCATATACTTATGCTTTTTTTACAGTCAAATAAAAGATATCATATACTTTCCAAAAAGGGCAAATAAAAATACATATAACTTTTATGTCAGTTACCTCCGTCTCCAACAATTTAATATAATTTTTCTTTTCTTTATTGATGGAAAATATTTTTATATATAGTATTGAGATGAATAAATTGATGACCAGTAATATTTTTGGAAATAATAGTTCTGTCTTTTCAGTATAGAATTTGTGATGATACATCAGGTTGTTATATACGTTTTGTGTTGTTTTTTTTTTTTAAATCCTCACCCAAGGATATTTTTCCCATTGCTTTTCAGAGAGAGTGGAAGGCGGGGGAGAGAGAGAGAAACATCGTTGCGAGAGACTCATCCATTGGTTGCCTCCTGCTCACGCACTGACCAGGGCACAGATTGAGCCCTTCAGTCCATAGGCCGATGCTCTAACCACTGAGCCTAACAGGCTAGGGTATCTATATGTATTTTGATACATGCCAGAAAACTCAACAACCACACCACAAAACCACATGCAACCCCTGTCAGAAAAAGAGCCCTTTGGGTATTTTTTGGTGTTGGTGGTTTGTTTGAAGAAAGAAAAAAATCTTGCTAGGCCTAGATGGTTTATAGAGCTGTCTCTTAGGCATGAAATTCGAGTTTATGTGCATGTGTGTATTTATGGGAAGAGCGGGCTGACTGTGTGCCAAGAGTGGCCAGCACTGCCAGCTTCAGATGCCTTAGGCTGAAGAGGGAACAGGACGAGCCAGGGGAGATGTGTTTGATGTCGGGCTTGTCACACGGCACACACTCCAGCCACTGCAGCCTCTTTTACCCACTCGCAGCTTTTGCTCAGTTTTGTCCTCTGTTTTTCACTTGGGACTTTTAGTTGTGATCCAAAAGTTAAATAAAAAGTTTAGAACTGACAAATGCAAAAAAGAAAAAAAAGTTAAGCCTGATAACAGGCAAAGGCAGAATTATATTGGAAATCTTGGTGCTTGAGGAAATAGATCCTTATGCGTCTCTTAAATATGATGCAGTGTCTTCCTTTTGGTTTTATGTTGCGTGGGGACATGCCTGTGCTTTAATAGTTTAGCATGGGGATGAGAGTGGAAGAATGGAAATATTCAGCCCTTTGGTCTCTGGGTGTGTTTAGGTAGCATTTTCACTCGTAGGATCTTCTGGTATCGTGGTTTGTTCTCAAATGCGGCTTGCTCACCTTGCCTGACACACCTCCTTTTTTCCATCTGTGGTTTCTGTATTCATGACACGTTTAGATTCTTCAGGCATCTGCTTCAAAAGTGTGATCGGATGAGCACCAACCGAGATGCACTGCACTTTTCCCAGAGAAGATCCAGATTCCTTAAGGGAATAGGGTTGGGGATTCTAGCCAGCAGAAAGGAGAAGACGGTTTTCTAGAAAGAACACTGGATTGGGGATCAAGACTCTTATATTCTATTACCATCAAAACTAACTTGTAGCCCTAGCCAGTTTTTCTCAGTGGTTAGAACATCAGCCTGCGGACTGAAGGGTCCCGGATTCGATTCCAGCTGAGAGCACATACCTCGGTTGCAGGCTCGATCCCCGGCGCCGGTCGGGGCAGGTGTGGGAGACAAACAATGTGTCTTTCTCACATCGATGTTTCTCTCTCTCTCTCTCCCCCTTCCACTCTTTCAGAAAAGCAATGGAAAAAGTATCCTCAGATGAAGTTTAAAAAACAAACAAAAAGCAAACAAACAAACAAAAACTAACTTGTAGATTTATGACCTTAGCTAAGATATTTATCTTGTCTGCAATTCAGCCTCACTCTCTGAAAGGTTTCATGTAAAGTCCCTTTGAGAACTAACTTAAAGGACGTTAGAGAGCATGTGTCTGATTTTAATTTAGAGGCAGTTGGTATGATGTATATTCCTCTCAAAGCTCTGAAGGAGAATCTGAGAATCCTAGAGCTGGATGGAATCTCAAGGAGTCTTCTACTTTTTCAAACCTTTGAGATAAAGCAAAATATTCTGATTTTCTTTATTATCATCATTATGTCATCTGAATAAAAGATCTGGATGTTTTTCACAGAAATATGTTTAGGGCAATGAGGAAGTTGAGTCAGAACTTCCTCATTGCCCTATTCTATCTCTTATCACTTAAAGCAAAGCTGCATGCTGAAATGTTATCTATATGGGCTAGCCTGTAATCAAAATGAGGGTAAGAGGCTGGCAGCGGGGTCACAGGGAATGGTGGGGACCACGGGACTGTGGGGACTGGGAACACATACCCTGCATGCTTGGGGTGGCCACTCTTAATTTTCAAAACACCAGATGAGCCCAAGAAAAAACATGCCTCAGTGCAAAGGGCTGTGGTTGGCAGTGAACAGTGTCTTATTGAAAACAACAGTTTTGTATCCTTAGCACTTCTACAATGGGGAATTCACCAATTGAAATAATAAAACATAGTCATAGAAGACATGCACAGCTGTTTCCCTCGGGAACGTCATGTGTGCAGTCCTCCCCCTGACAGGCCTTCCTCTTGTTATATACCTTAGTCTTCTCCCATTCTCCGTAAAAAATGTTTCTTCAGAATTATTAGTTCTTGCAAGTTTTCTGTCCTTACGTCCTAACATTTTTAAAAAGCTCCTTTAATGATGAATGGTTAGCCTCCCACCCCCCCAGCAGAAGCACTTGTTTTGAATATCCCTTAAATATTTTCCAGTGTTGAATTCCACTCCCCACAAAGAACTTGACCCTTAAGTCTAACTTGAATCATCACCTGAAGCCTTGTTTCTTTTTGTTTGTTTGTTTGTTTGTAGGAGGAACAGTTGATCAGTGCCCTCCTTGTAATACCCTTCAGAGCCATCGGTTGAAAATAGCCGTTTTTGTTTTTCTTTTGGCACGGTAAGTTTGGAAATTTTATCATGGCTTTATTTTCCAGTGCTCTGATAATTACAGTGTAATTACCTTTCTCTGATCTCTCTCCAATCTGTACACTAAAAAAATTGTATTTTGAATGGCACCCAGTCCTTTTACGGGCTGTTCACACCGGTGAGATAACACCGCTGTGTTCTGTTGTCAGAGAGTAAGCGCCACACAACTGGATCCTACCCGCTGTTCTCCGTGTGACCTCAGTGCCTTTTTTCTCCCTACGGGGAGTCTGTTGCTGTCAGAGTTTCTTCATATTTTATCCATATAATTCATTTTTCATTTGTAAGTGTCCTCTATCTTGTTTTTGATGGATCATTTCTCTCTGATTTATCAAGGTTACTTGGAATTCTGTTATTTTTCAGAAAATCTAGAAACCTTCACTTTGTTTGTAGCCACCAAGTGACTGAGAATGCTCTCAGTTCCATTATGAAAGTCATTGATTAAAAAAAAATTCAATAATATTGGACCCAGGAGTCTGTGTGCTGTTTTATAACTACCCCAAGTTTCATCAAGCCATTTATTTCTGTCACTATTAACTAATGATTTTCCTGTTTCTGGATGTTTTTAAACTCCACAGACATTGTTATCATAGTTTCTTGCTTGATTATAGCAACTAGATTTGAGTGATTTAGCATTATAATCTAGGGGGTTGTGGTTGGCATTATTTTTAAATTTTTAGTAGTAAGGTGAGAGAACACAGGGAAGCCTTTAGATTGAGTAGGAATGTCTATTTTGTAGATGTTTTGTTCTGTGTTGGGCTTTGCAAATTTGTCTATGATTTGATTTAAATATAGTAGTCAGTGTCCTATTCAAGATATGAACATAATGAGATGCATTTTTTGTTGTCATTACAGGTTTTGGAGGGTGACAATGAAATGTGAAGAAGTTACATTTCTTATGTGATACTTGAAAGTTAGTGACTGCTTACGAAATATTCATGAAAATTAAATATGACTTAGAAGCACTGATCTATGAAGGTTTATGATGTCATCGGTTGCGACAGAAAGCAAACTCCAGCAGGCTGTGAGCCTGCAGGGAGTTGACCCAGAAACATGCATGATTGTATTTAAAAACCACTGGGCACAGGTAATGTATGAGTTCCACCTTCTCTGCTGGTCTCGAGGCCTCCATCACCCTGAACCAGGGCTTCCTACCTCTGTGAAAGGTAACTGCGCTTCCAGAGACAGGGAGGAAAACCCTTTTAGAAAGGAAGAAAAGCAACTTTCTCTTCTTGCTCTTTTAGAATAGGTATCTGGTTAAAACCCCTGGTTTTCAACAAAAGCAATTAGAGAGCACATATGTTCCTCAGATGTTTTTAGAAGAACAGCAGTCGGCCTTCAAGTGGGTTTGACCTCACCTTCTATACACTGGGTCGTGTTTACATCCCCTTGCTCCCCGTTGTCGCTGCCGATTTCCATCCAGACCTTGCCCTCTCACAATATGAAGGCGCACATTTATTAGATGTTTACCAAATGCTCTGCCGATTACTTCGAATGCCTTATATCATTTAGTCTTTTCCACAAACCCATAAGGCAGTTAGTATTAGCTTCCTCATTTTACAGACGAGGAAATGGAAAATTATAGAGGCTGAGTAACTTGCTTGAGGTTATATAACTAGCTATTTTTCAAGCAAGTACTTAGATCTTGGTCTCTTGACCTCAGTAGTCTGCCCTTTTTCAGGGTGGCGGACCAGTGTGATTTAAGGAAAGACAGTACCAGTTGTTGTCTGAATTCAGTCCAAAGCTGATTATAGATGTTTTTTTCTTAGTCACTTTGGCTTCTCCATGACTTCTCTGATCTGCTCGCATGGATAACGAAGGGTTGAATGTTCAGAAAATTTACCAGCTCACCCTTTTCCTCAGGTTGTTTACAAGCAGTAAAATAAATAAAATTGGCATTCTTTACTGCTTGTCCAACATTACACTCCCAGGTGAGCTGGTAAGTGGCTATTTATGTGACAGTTTTTTAATGACTACCCAGTTCCTTCCTGTGGCCGGAAAGAGCACATGGGTTAAAGCACTGAGCCTGTAAATCACAGCAATTATGGGGGACACAGTTTAGATTTAAAAACAAAATCAATTCTGCTTCTGGGCCATTTACACTTTGTAGTTTCTTGTCACCATCCAGTGGAAAGCTTCTAAAATTTCTTATGCATTTCTCATTCTCTGACTTTTTACCGTTAGAATCTTAATGGGTTTTCTCTGGATAGTAAGGGCACATCTGCTTTAGTGAAGGGAAGAAAATAATTCAGGAATCTTCCAGGTAATAGAATAATGACCTTTGGCTTTGTACTTTTATAAGGATTTTAAAGTGCTAGCTCCAAAGTGGGCTGGTAAACCCTAAGGATGTGCCCAATAGGCTACTGTGTGTAAGAATATCTTAGAAGCCCTATTTCTATCTTTTAAAATTTCCTATGTTGTGTTTATAATGTACATAATATATTCATATATTTATATGTATATACTTGTTAATTTAATTATTTTCCTCGTATTTTTATAACTATTAAGAGTGCACAGTCAGATGTTTTCTATTGAGGACATTTTCAGCCTTGGTCATTTCATTTAGTGGAAGAGTACCATTCTAATATCATTCTGTGCTCTGAGCCCCATCTCGTTTGTTTGTTTGTGTATAATACCTTTGACTGTAATCATTCCTGCTGGGGTATCTGCGATGTGATCCGTTTATTATTCTGTACCCCTCTTCAAAGACACGCTATATCATCAGCCTCTTGAGTTCATGGAGATGAATCATTTGCCCTTTCAGATGCTGTCGTGGGCAAGCCTTCTTCAAAGTCGTTGGCGTGCTGTTAGAATGTCTTAACTCAGGAAGGTGTGACAACGCTTTCACACTGGTGAAGGAGCAGATATCGGTTCCAGAATCATATTACTCATTTCCATATCCAATATGAATGACTTCAGCATTAGCAGACATTTGGGTTTTCTGAAGCATAGCACCCTCTGTTTAGTGCAGAAAAATGTCAAGTTGAGGGTAAGGATAACTTTGAGAGGATGGTGTTTAGTTAGGAAACACTTCTTTTGCAGAGTGGGGACACTCTTGGTCTGGCTGTTTCAGCCATTTATTTAACTTTGGTCAAGTGTTTTACCTCTTTAGTCTTGACTTTTCCTTTTTAACCAACCTGGAAAATGTCCTCAGTTTCTATTTCCAAAGGCTCTTGAGGGCCTTTCTGTTACATTTATGAATAAAAATTGCTTGTTGAAGAAATTCATGTGGATATCAATGTGATTATTGTTGAATGGGGATTTACTGAGTCCACACTTCAGGTATATTACTGCAGGCATCACAGATGGGACACAGGCATGTATGGGCCTTGGTCTGGGCTTTTAAAGAATGTAGAAGTTAATTTGGATGCCAGTGTGAGACACATTGTTATAAAATGAATAATAATGATTACAGGAATTAAGCCAAGGGAAAGGACTATTATGGATGGAAATGGAGGCTGTGAGATTTTGCTAGCATGATGGAGGGAAAAGAAGGTCTTGATGACAGAAAAGTAAAGAACACCTTAGAGAAGGGGTATTGGTAACAAAAGCTCAGCTTTGGCTTTTATTGGATGGTAAAAAAGAGCGAAGAAGTCGGGGCAAGGAAAGGGTGTGGGACTAAGCATGCGGTAAGGAATGAGACCTTCCATTGTAGGAGTAAGTGCTATTTATTTATCGTTTTGGAGTTTCATACGTTAGCTCTTTTCTGTGAGTTGTTCAGGCTGGGGGTAGATGAAGAACAGGTGCAGAGGGTTGGGAAATGAGCTAAAATCTGACAAAGTCCTGTGACTTGAGTGGCTGTAGTCTCTGGGTTCCCCCAAGGCAACCCAAGGAAACCTGTGAGGCCGGTAAGAAGCGTGGCAGAGACAGAGCTGGGTGGCAGGGTTTTATTTACTGAAGCGTTCATTAGTTGGCAAGCGCAGCACCTTCCATCCTGGGTGCGTCTGCTTGTTAGCACACTGCGGCACAGGCTCAGCACGGTTAACACGCATCAGACAGGTTCTGTTCTGCTGTTTACTAATAGCTTCTTTCCCAGACCTTGATTTGAAAAGCACACTTTGATGGGGTTGGGGATCCGCTTGCCCACCTGCAACTAGCTGTGTCAGGGACAGCTAGTTATGTAACCAGCCATCAGCTAAGGCAGTCTGTGATTCAGGGAGTTTCCAGGGGGAGAGTCCTCGACTGGCCCAGCAATGCACTTGTGTTTCCAAACTGTTCACTGGGTCCAGTGATCTCATGACATCCCCCAGATTTGTTCCATAGTGAACATTCAGGAATAGTTGCATTTCTAATAGGGACCTTGGAGAATCCAGGCTGTAGGAAGTAGCCTCTGGCCTGTACTTCCTCTCGCTTGAGATGCCATCTGGCATCATAAGTTGCCAGAGCAATGAATGTAAAACCCAGATCTGTCTGGACCATTCCTTTAGTTGGACATTTCAGTGGCATCCCAGCTACAGACCAGAATGGCACATAGGGTTCTTTATGTCCTGGCCTCTTTCACTCCTCATCTCTCATTGAGTCTCCAGAAATATAAAATTACTTGGAGTCCTTAGTCACCCCCACTCCTGGGCAGTGGCATCATGCGATTTCACGCCTCTCTGCCTTAGGCACTTCCTCTTCTTTCTGCCTGGAATATCCCTCCCCCTGGTTACACGCCTCTCCTTCTACAGGACTCATTTGGGACATCATTTCCTCTAGGAAACCTTTCTGTCCTCTTTTACTCTCCCACTCTGTGCTCCAACAACATCCCGAGTGTCTGTCAGACCCACCACCTTTTGTTAATGGGACGTGCACAGTATCTTCTGCCCAACCTCGTGATCAGAGACCATTTGTAGTTCACCTACATCTTCAGTGCCAAGAAAAGTGTAGGCATTTTGTAGATTTGAATAACTTGTTGAACTGAAACACAGGAGATACGAAATACAACTTTAGGAGAGCTAGGTGACTTAGGAAACAACTTTGAATATACACTAATATTAAAACAGTGTATAATTTGCTACCAGTAAGATCTTTGAACTTGTATATAATGGTCAGTGATCTGGAAGAGAGTGTGTGTGTAATTTTTATAGTAGTCCATAGGAACAGCTTATCGTCCAGTAGACTGTTGTTTTTATCTCTTGCCTTTGCTTCTTTGCTTTTGAATGGAAGAGAGAACAAGAAGAAGCACTGGTTCACCAGATAATAAACGATTTAACTGTATTGCCATATGAACCTCCCCGCCCCTCCCCACACTAGTTATTAATGGCACAGTTGTACTTTGTGAAGCTTCATGGACCACGCTGTACTCATTCATTCTCCACCTCCTTTTAAGCACTGAATCAGTATTCGTTGTCTACTTAGAGGCAGGAGAACAGGGGCCATAGGTTATAAAAAAAAAATCAATTAGAAATGCACATTTCTTTGTGCTTCTAGTCAATAGCCCAAAGCATCCCCTACCATTCTCAGTGTGCAAAAATAAGCTGTTATACAGTTTTTTTAAGCTGAGAAAATTTCAGAGCTCAAATAGAATAATACCAGCTGATGAAGAAAAGCTGGTATGTTTAACAGCCTTTTTCTTCTAGGAGATGGTGGGGATAGGAAACACTGTATCATCTAGGTTAGTTAAGTCAGATGTGTTCCCACAATACTGTAATGAAAAGTAGATACTAGGTTTTAAGTATAGTGTCTTGTGTAGAGCTCCAAGCAGCCTGGCTCTACTGAAAACGTGTAGAGCACTTACGCATGGATTTGAGGTGAGCACTTCAGTCTGTTCCCCGTGACACTCCTCTTACTCTGTTCATCTTCATTCCTTTGGTCTGTGCCTTGTCATAGAATCAGTGACAGGGAGAAATTAAGTCTTCGAGAGATGAAAAGTTGGAAAGTATTAGAGAACTCTGATTAATCTTTATATCGCCGTAAAGTGATGTTAACATTTAAAAAATTTGTATCTCTCTTAGCTTTTCAAGTAGGTCTAACACTTGAACCTAGAAAGTACAGCAGAACAAAAGCTATCTTTCTTTAGGGGGCCATGCTTCTGTTAGACTCTCAAGTGGTTGAACATGGTGAAATGTCAGCAGCTCTCCCGTTGTGTGCTCGGTGATGTCTGTT